CTTTTCCTCCTTTCCTTTATAATAATTACTTCACAGATACTGCTAGGGAATTGAAGAGGAAAAAAATTCATGCTTTGCTTTCTAAAACAATTCTCTGCAAGCAAGTCACAATCTTTGATTTGAGGACTTCTAGAAATAAGTCCTTCCCTTCGGTGAGATTAGCAGTGTTTGTTCTAAGCTCAGAAATAAACTGTGGGAGTTCTTGATATCAGTAGCTCAGATTGTTTCTGTTCCTCTTTCAAAATGATTAATAAATGTTTGCCATAGTCTATATAATATTTTGTTCTAACTAAGGAAGCTAAATATGAAGTTTCTTTAAAGGAGATGAAAGGGCTTTTTTGTGTTTACAGCATTTGGAACACTTACCAGTGTTGCTTTGCAAATCATATAGGGAAGAGTAAGTGCCGTATACTCAAACACAATTGGATTTTATGTGTCTGTTGAAGGAAAACAGGAAGCAAACCCAAAAATCCTTATCTGTTGATGTGACTATTTTTCTCTTGCAAAAGCATGTTTATATACTTACGTATAAGATAGTCTTTCACTGTTTTTCCTCTGTCCTTTAACAGTAGATAAACCATGGGGTCCATTATTATTTGTGGTCTCTAAAATTTGTACGGACAAGGTACTGGCTGGCATCACGGAAAATCCTCAGATATACAATGCAGTAAATGTGATAGGCTTTTCTCAGCCTTGTGTTTTTGTTTGGTTGGTTTTTCAATGGTCTCAGTAGTGATCTGGGTGGTAGGAGTGCTTGGTAAAGATCTGAACTGTGCTTTGGATTCCCTTTTGACCTTAGAGTAATTTTTGGGTTACCCTGTATAATGAAATGGGAGTGTTAGTTAATCGGTTTTCCTACAGAACTGTTAAGTCTGCCTTTTTTAAAAGTGCATTTCAAATGAAAAAGTAATTACTGCCATTGTCCTTAACATAGAAATGATCTGTTATCTATGAATAAGCAAATCTATTGCACAGGGATGTCTTAAAAATTGTTAGTTTGTTACTTGTTCTTACTGAGGAGTCTTCTTTTTTGGGTAGTGGTCAATGTGTGCATATATGATAGTAGGGCTGGTCTGCTCTTGCATTTGTAAATAAATGATTTACGTGGCATAAGCTTGACCACTGATTTGAGACCATAGACACAAGAATGCTGCTTGGAATAAGTGATAAAGTTATCTATTGTTTGCTTTCTGAAACTTTTACAAAATACAGATAATTTATAAAGGTTTTGAAGATTTAAAAGAAAATCTTTCATAGTTATCATGTAATTTAAATATCAGGCATAATCTTTTCTTGCCCAAATACTGTTTGTTGTTGTTCTGCTCTTTTGACGAGCAATTTCAGAGCTACTTTGCAAAACATGCAAGCTTAACGAGTACAGACTCGTATTCATTTCACTGCTTCTCACTTTCTTTTCCCTCAGGAGTCATCTTGCTTGATATCAGGACTAGATATGTATGAGATAAGTGTCTTCCCAAAATAAAACTGACCCAGTTTGTTGGAAGCTTTTACTTAAAGGTGATTTTGACTGGAAGGGCTTAAACTTAAAAGCCATGAATATCAAAGTCAATTAGTGATACTAACTGATGTAATATTCTTGAATATAGAATAAACCAAAATAACCAATAGAAGATAAACCAATAGCCATGACCTTTACAATAAATGCAGTAATATTTTGTAGCAGTAACACGTACCTATTTTCCAAATATCTCAAAGCAGTTTATAAACAGTTGAAGAAATTCCTGCCCTTTTGAGGGAGAATAGAAGATATTCCTGCCTGGCACGTGTGGAAGCGAGCAAAAAGGGGAGAACTGACCCAAATATATGCAAAAGTCTTCACAGGCAACTTAGTGTGATACGTATTTCTAAGAAATTAATGTTTTTCTACTTTCTCTGTTACCAATTGCTTGTTCTTTTTTTCAAGGGCCTAATATAATAATCTCTATTTTAATTAACTTTTTCTCATCTCTTGGTATTCTTATGAAGAAGTGAGCCGTATATTACGTGATTCTTATTGCTATGTTGCTGTTTATATCTATTTAAAATTAAGTAATACTTTTGTGTACTTAATACAGTATTTCTTAAATTTAATCTGTATTTAAGAAAAAAATAAACGACTAGATTGGAGTGACTCTAATTTTAACCTGTTACAGAAATCATAATTTATTCAGGGTTCTTCCTCTAGTTGATTTGTTTTCATTTTTAGTACAGTATTGAATTGTAATTATTCCTTGTGTCATCAAAAAAATAGTGTCCAAATCATGCTGTTAAGTGATCATTTCAGGGTAGTCCTCCAAATGAACTTTCTGCCCCAAAGCTTTGTATTCTTAAAATATATGTACTTTCCTGGGTTGTAATAAACATACCAGGAAAAAGACAATGAATAATAGTTGTATAATAAAGTTACTCTAAGAAATTGTATTATATACTTCATCAAAGGACACTTAGAATTTTGTACATCCCTTATGCATTGCTTAAAGTTTCTGTCAGAGCACTGAGGTGCTTTCATATCTTAAAGAAAATTCTCACCTAAAATGAGAGAATGTTCTTACAGTGAGTTTTTTCAGATTAAAAAGATTATAGTTGTGGCCATAAAGTATAAATAATAGAAATAATAAATCCAAGTCAAATCTACAAATAGCCAGTTGCGTAATATGTTTCATGTAGTGGAGGATTACTGTGGGGCACTGGCTGTTCATGTCATGGGAGGGAAGGGGTGGGGAGGAGTGAGCCGCTTACCAACTCTGGTGCTTTCAGTCATTTGACATTTTTATTGCCACTCATCAAATGTATTTTATGGTCACCTCAAAGGCTAAGTTTGAAGATGTTTGTGAAGGACGCCACAAACTTTCTATACAGCATCAGTCTTACATTTAGATTTTATCAGAGGACCCATTCAAACCTACTGCAGTAGCAGGATAACCAACCTTTTGCTATAGCTTTTGAAAATTATATTGATTTTTATTTTGTCTTTAGCAGAGTAGTTAGTACTGAAGTCAGGATTTTGTCTTAGCTGGATGTGCAGCTAGCAAATAGAGCTGTAGGCTACGTGTTGTTTACACTGGTAAAAGGGTGGATTGGAGGGTAAAGGTAGCCAACAAACTCTGGTACAGCCTTAAGGCATTCTCTCAAGCTAGAAATACGGCTTGATATTTTTTATACAGATGAGTTATACTTCTACAGAGAGATACTGAAACTTAATAGAAGTTTTAAAAGAATCTGGATGTCACAACTATTGCGTGGGTTTGAGTTTATTAATAAACAAACTCCAGATTCCATGGCTGTGTCTTTTCAAGTTGATTTAGTAAGAAAACTACTGTAATTCCAATGAAACGTAATGTCACCTCCTTACGGTATTGATAAACAGAAACTCTTTGATAAACTATTCTCCAAACTGGGGGTTTGTACTACCTGGCATTCTACAGACATCTGGCCAATATATACCTATGTGTTTGGTATTGTTTTTAGTTTCTCCAGTAATGGATTCTGATTACCTTGGATAATGAATTGAGAATTCATTATTCATTTAAATTGTGAATTATATTACTGTGGGAGCAGTTGAAGGCACTTCAGGATCAACATTTATTGATGATAAACTGGATGAATGACCTGAAATAAATCTCTAAAGAACATATGGAAAGTGCTATACTTCAAATACAAATAATTATTCAAATAAATATAAGGTGGGGTGACTGCAGAGGCAGTTGGCTTGCAGAACATGATCCAGTGATCTGTTGCAGATCATAAACAGAAGATGATGTTTTACTTATATGTAAGGAAAAGCACAGAAGTTTTGCTGATCTGGTTTGGGTTTTGTGTGTGTGTTTTGTTATTGTGTTTGTTTGTTTGTTTTTTTAAGTATCCTATATCAAAAACAGGAGGTCTTTCCTCTTCTCTACTCAGTGCTATTGAGACTCAGGTGGAGCCGTGTATCCAGTTTTGGCACAGTGAGTCAAGATGGAGGTAACTAGCTGGAGAGGGTCCAGAGGAGATGAAAATTATTAGCTGTCAAGGAAGCATGAAAAGAGAAACGAGTGAGAATTGACATTCTTGCAAGCATGTCTCTCTCTCTCTAGATAAACATTGGAAGAATGTTTTGTAAAGAAAGGAATAATCGTTCTGTCAAGAAGACTAGGAGTAATTAATCTAGGGAGGGAGATCTAGACATTTGGAAAAAATACTAATTGTGAGAATTTTCTTAGGAAGGCCAAGGCATGCCTACTGTCAGAGGCTTTTAAGAACAGGTTAGATACGTGTCTGGGGTTGGTCTGGGGTTGGTTGATTCCTTGGTCAGATAAATGTATTAGTATTCTCAAGGTCCATTCCAGCTGTTTTCTCTAATTATCTTGACAATACCTGTAATAGAAGTGGCGTGTATAGAAGATAACATGGTAAGAGTAGTTGGATTTTTGTTTTAGACAAGCAAAGACTTTTTTTTCTCCTTCAAAACACCAGATAATGGATTCGTTGGATAAACCTGAGAGGAAAAGACTTCTGTGCCTTGATGAGAGTGTGCTACCTTTCACTAAATTTAAATGCAAAAATGATACTTCCTAACCCCTTATTTTTTTGAAAATGTATTTGTTTTTATAGGTGCTTCTGCCTTGCACAGTTTAGCATTACCTTGAGTGCCTTTCTTCACCCTGCCTTGGTTTCTGTGATCACACTGGAAAAGTGAAGTTCTATTCAGTAATTTAAAACTGGTGTGGAAAGACACTAGATACTTTTGTAGTAGACTGTCATAATGTCTTTTAAATCAAAAATGCATTAAAAAATTGCTGCTTCGGGTTTTATAACTATTGAGGGGTCACTGTTATTTATATATTTATTAGTGTGTGTATCAGAGGACCATACCTTCATAAGTTTTTGGTAATTTTTTTTTTCTTTGTTTCTTCTCGTGACCAAAGGGGCTTCGCCTGGATTATGTTTTAGGTATAGCATTTTATGATGTTAGTTTTTAATGCTTCATTTGAATTATTATTTTTTTTTTCCCCCTCCAGGTCTCTGTCTTGAGAAGTTGCCAATTTCTTCTTCGGCTAGCAACCTTCATGTGGACCGTGAACAAGAAATTGTTACATGCTATGAGAAGGCTGGGGATATTGCTCTTCTGTACCTTCAGGAGATAGAAAGGGTAAGCTGGGATGACTTGCTTAATGAGAGAATTACGAGGTTCCTCTTTCATTGATGTGGTGTTCCCAACATTTGGGTAACTCAATTAAATATGTCTAATACTTGTTTTCTTAGGACTTCAATGCACACTTACAGCTGGACAATAAATTAGAAGAATTAATAGAAGTCTGGTAGCAGTCCTTCTGACTGTTCTCTCATTCTGATCTCTTAGAAAATAGTGCTAGTACTCTAAAGAGGAACAGAGCTCCTCTGAACTACTGTGTATATACAAGGTACTGATCTTGGCCTCTTGTTACAATGTGGTAGTTCATTTATGAACAGAGGATTATGCTGTCCTTCAAACACAGATGTTGGAGTATTTACACTGTATGTATATACTGGCCGGTTTTTCAGATAATTCTTAAAAAGAATTCAATTCAAAATGAAGCTGTGCAGATTGAAAATTGATCTTGTTGATACTTATTTGGAGCAAATAACTGCTCTTAAATCCTCTTTATAAAACTACTTGAAGGTAAAATGCTGAAATAACATTGTACCTGTCAGCAAGACACTTCTTGTGTCAAAGGGGTGTCCAAAATAGTAACTGAGTGTGCTTCACCTAATAGGCACAATCCTGGGACAATAAAAAAATCATCAGATATGGTAAACAGATAAAACTACAATTTTAAAATATAGATGAACTTCAGATAAGTCCTTATAGTTCTGTAAATAGGATCAGGACAATGTTTTGGGGTTTGATAGCCCATTTGTCATTTTATCTCATTAATATATAACTCACTGTATGTGTGAAACTATTACTGTTAAAACCCAAGATATGTAGGAGACCTGCTCTTTATTGATGAAAGCTGGTATAGCTGAGCTTCTTGATGTTAACAAAATCTAACCTACAAACAGCTCTGCAGAATATTAGGCAAGTCACTGTTTTCTTTTTTCCACGGTATTATAAATTATGGATTATGAATTATGGAAAGTTAAAGTTAGCCTCTGAATTTGTAAAGAGCGTAATGCTTCATGATTTAAAAGCTTCAGGCTTTATCTGAATTTAAAGGGATATATAGGCTCTTCTATTTCCTCCTTTTGTTTTCATTTACACCATTAACCTTGTCTTTTGTTTCTTACCACCTAATGGAAGCCCTTGAAGTGTTATGTATACTTTTTCTAAAGGAAAGAAAATTTGTGGTATCCCTTGTTTCTAAGAGTTACACACTATTGCATTTTATTTAGGCTTTGAGCTATGTCTGCACAAAATACAGTACATTTGTGCTCTATTCTTTGGCTTGTGAATACTAGTAGAATGAAGCAAGCTAGCAACATCAACCTGACCCTCTTTTTCAGACCTATTGCTTACAAGCCTCAGGCCTGTCATGTCACAGTTGTCTTAGGAGGGGTTGTGAACATACATTTAGGGTCACACAAGGTAAAGGAAGGGGAAAGAATCACATTGCTTTGTGATGGGGAAAGGAGAAGTATTTCACATTGTTTTTTTAATACTTACACATTTTTATTTTCTGAGGGTTTTTTGCTTTGGGCTTTTTGTTTGTTATGCTATTGTCTTTTAGTGGCTGGTAGACTGTGCAGTGAATATGAAGGCAAATGAAAGCTGAAAGCTCTCCATTTTGAGAGATCATTTTTAATGTTGAGGTAATACAAATTAGGTTATTTCTAAAATGTTTTTTGGAAATCATTCTGGAGATTACTTTTAATCTTCTTACTGCTTTCTGCAGCAGTAGCCAAACAGGTTTCTAGATTTTTATTACCATCACCTCCTGCTACTGAATAAGGTTGCAAATATACTTTTTCATATACTTTGGTATACCATTCTCCATAAAAATTTCTGAAAAAGTATTATAAAATTTTTCTTAGTGGTGTTTTTGCTTGGTGAAGAAATTGCCTTTAAGGGTCTAGCCAAGAGCAAAAAGATTTATATTTAGGTGGAAATGGAGGTAAGGAGGTAGTTACCACCTACAAATGAAAAAGATTTCTCCAACATTAAATACTAGCTTCTGTGTAAAAGTCCACAAAACTTGATTTTTTTTTTTTTTTCCCTAAACAATTTTTTTTTTCCTTTTTCTTTTATTCTCTTAGGTAATTAATGCCAATCTACAAAACAGAAGCCCTAAGCCAGGGCCCACTGCACATGAACAAGAACTTGGTTTTTTCCTGGAAACAGGACTTCAAAGAGCACATGTTTTATATTTCAAGAATGGGTAAGATTTGATTCTCCTTTTTTTGCGTTTACTTTTTTATTTAGGTTTTGTATTTGTGATCTAACTGGGAATCATAACTTTTATCAGTTGTGGATTGTGTAAATGTAAGGCCTCTTATTAGTGAAGAAGTAACATTTTGATTGAAATAGCAAGGCTGCCCATATTGTATTTATTTACATATTGTAAAATTGTTTAATCAAAGTATATTAAACAGGAAGCATTTTGTACTTTTACTTGCTAAACTTGAGAACTTAAAATGCCTTAAACTAACTATTTGAAATTTCTTTTACTTCCTTACTAGAAACTGTTAGAAAGTAATTGCCAACGTATTGAAACTCTTGATTTTTATAATTTTGATTTTGTAATTTTTTTCCAAATCTCTTCAGTTATCACTTATTTTAACATTATGCTGCAGGATAAATGTGCATGAAGATCAACAGTATGTATACAAGTATACAATATCCATTGTACCTGCTCTATTGATCCTCTTAGATTCTGCATGGGAGATCCTTTATAATTTACTTTAAATAAGGCTTCCCTTAAAAGCCTAAAAATAAATCCACATATCGCAGAAAATGAAAAAAAGAATATGACTCTCCATTTGTAAGAGCTTAAAAACTTGGCACAAATGGTTTTTAAGTACATTTCTGACATTTGTTGTTGAAATTGCATAGTTTAAAAATTTGTTTTCAGGCTTCCTATTTCACTAGGAAGATGTGGCTTGATTGAAATATTGGAACTCTTGATAGGACTACTGTTTTGTACCAAAAATTTTTCTTACTCTTTTAAATACATAAACAGGAGATGAAGGGAAATTGTGCAGTGTCTGTAAAGAGTTCGAGATTTTAATGTACTGATGGTAGGGTGACAAAAGGCTATCCAAGTTTTAAACTGTTCAGGGATTTCAACTTGGAAATGATCACTAAGCTTTTGAAATCTCTTTCTTAAAGTAATGAAATTGAGCTGCAGTAACATATAATCTGAGAGTTACATTATAGTTCTGGTTTCATCATTTAATTGCAGGAGGAATTGAATGTTCTGAAAGTTAATTTTTTTTCATTTACTGAAGCTAAAAATAAAATTTCTGTTTTCATGCCTGCACAAAAGATAAATAAAATACATTTATTGAAAGAATCCCAGTGACAATCATGGATGAGAGTAAGTTAAAAATTCTATGTTTTGAAGAATTTTTATTGAAGGCCAGGGATGGAAATGGTCCATTTAATCTGACATGTGCATAAAAGCAATCAGCAATAGACATAGCAGATTAAGATTAATTACGAAAACAACCACACAGAAAAGTTGTGCAGTGGGTTGTTAAGGAACATCCATCGGAGTGTTTTTCCTAGACCATATCAGTTGGTCTGCTGTGAACTTTGAAAAGCTGATTGTATTCCATGTACACTTTAATCCTTCACAGTGAAGTTCTTGGTGTTGTTAACTCCTACATAAGTATATAATCTTTTTTTGCAGTCTTTAATACAATGGTCACATGCAGTTTACAAGCTAATGACACATTATATATATACATTTTCAATTTCTTCTTCCAATTTCACTGGCCAGTGCTACGTTTTTTGTGGTATGAGAGGAAGCGAGGTGTTAGGAAAAATAGCTCAGCACAGCGCTAATCATTATTTTACATATTCCTGCCATTATGTCCTTTAGTTTCCTTTCTTAATTTAGAGCCAATCCCAATTCTTTCAAGATTTCCTAATATGGTCATTGTTCCAGGCTGCTAGTTATGTTGCTGCTGCTTTTATAGGTCCTTTTTTTTTTGTTTGTTTACCAAAACTGAACAAGACTTTACATACATACTTTTTAAATGTCATCTCTCCTGATATTAGGTTTAGAATAGAAATTATATTCAAGATCTTTCCACTAAGATCTGCAGCATATTTCAAGTCTGAATTTAATCTAAAATTGAAAACATTATATGAATATTTTCAAGGAGAGGAAATGTAGATATCTTTAAAATAGGCAGTTGAGAAACAGAAACATTTCTTTTAAACTTTTTTGCAGTGGAAGATGTAGATGTTAAAAGGGCTTCAATCCAGTGGAGGAGGCAAGGAATCACCAGAGTTTAACTGCTTGTGTGAGTGATAGGGGCGGAGGAGAAGAGGAAAAGTGTGCCTGTCTGTTTTTACCACCAGACTAAATCTGCTATTCCTATTACAATGCAGTGGAATCTCTTATTTGTGTAGGTTCATGAAGTGAGGCTGACGCTCAGAAGAGTTGATTCTGAAATAAAATTTCCTTTCACCAGACTATAACCTGGCATTGATTTGTGTCAGTTCAAATGTTATCCTGTTCCAGCATGGTGGCTATAGTAATTTATGTATTAGAGCATGCTTAAAGATCTGAGAAGATGTTTATGGATTTTTTATTTGCTGAGTTGTTTAGACTTCCATTCCACTGCATTAAGTACTAGTAAATATCTCTCAAAATCTGCTGGATAATTGAATATGTCTGAAGTCTTTTTGCTGTGGAGTAGGTTTTTGTTGTTGCATATCTAGGGGTCAGTTGGATAATCACTGCTTTTAATTACACTTCTTCCACTAGAAGTGGAAGCATCATTTTTGTGCATGTGTGTCAGTTACAAACCAGAAAATGTGTAAGATAATTTAGGAGCATAATTTTAGCAGTAATTCAAGGAATATTGCTGGCTACCCAGAAAGCTGGTTGATCCACTTTAAATTACCCCTTTGTTCACTACCTTTACAGAGATTTTCTTTTAAGCCAAGAAATCAAGATTTTGACTATCTTTCAGGTATGCATTATCTTGTATGAAAACCTAGGAAGAGTTTGAAACCTAATTTAGCCTAACTGCTACCAAAAAAAAAAAAAAAAAAAAAAAGTAAAGTGACAATAGTCTGAATGGAAGAATGTTATTTTAGTGCTCTATTAAGACACGAATCTGAAATTAATGTTTTCTTTCAAAGTGTACATAATTTTAGTAAAGAATCAAACTACATACCCTTTTTTCACTTGGGAGCAGAGGAACATTTCAGCTTGGAAATGAATAACAAAGAAGCTGAGGAAGCTGATCTAAAACTTAAAGTAGGGTTTATGTGCTTTTTAAAAAACATTCTGAAATATGTAACTCTAACTGTCTTTCAGGCTGATTATGCAACTTCTATTGAGTCTAGCAGTTGCTCTGTAATTTCAGATTGAAGGAGTTCAAAGTCTTGATGTTGTTCCAAGAAAAGCTACGAGCACAGGAACTTTGACATTAGTACTTTAACATAACTATTTTCAACTAAAATGCTCCTGAGACAGAAGGGACAGTAGTTTGTGTACCCAGTAATTCTTCTGTCCTCGTATTTGCTTTCTATTCCTGTTATGAGATAAATAAGATGAACTGAAATGGTTTTTATTTTTGAGGTAGTAGTGTTCAGAAGTATACTGGAAGTGTATGCTCTTAAAGCAAAAGAGCTTTCTGGTTGAAGTCTAAAATCAGGTGGCAGTCATGTGAAAACCAGATTTAGCTAGCTTTCAGAGCTCTTTTTTGTGTCTTCTGCTATATTTCACTCCCTCTCCAAGGATATTGCTCTGTGAGAGTCCAGGATCCAAACTGCAGTTTGGTCTAATCTCCATCATGGTTCACGTGCTGAATCAAAGCCTGAGGAAACTGGGCAGATCTGTACTCCTCATGGTGCCGTTACCTGGGCTGGCACGGCTGCAGTGAAGCAAACCCTTCCCAGTCTGCTCCATTAAGTTGTTTCTCAGAGACTGGCTTTTTCTCAATAGAAAATTAACCCCCCCAAAACCAAAACAAAACAACCAGTTTTTCTGCATACGGTTGATTTTTATTGGCTTACAAAATGTTTGACAAGCACAACAAAAAACCCCTACTCCTTAGAGTTACTCGTGTATAGGACTTGTCCATATAGAAGTTGTTTCTTTTACCTACTTTTCTTCTTCCACCATAGCATAAATAGGAGTAGAGTTGGAATGTAGCTCTCATGTTAGTAAGTGAGGGACAGTGAATGGAAGCCAATTCATAAGTATTTCTGTTGCACATATATACCTATACTGTGCTCACAGCTGGAGATTTTACAGTGATGAAATCCATAAGAGAAGGATTTATGTAAATCCTTGACATAAACGCACATCAAGACACTGTATGACCAGCTGTCCGCTGTATTAGAATACAGTGCTAGCTACCATCCATTCTCTGAATCTGTTGAGATCTTGTGGCATGTCCTACATCAGTCTCCAAACAAATTGGTCATTAAGTAAAGAATAGAAAGTAAGATGAAATTCGAAAACATTGAAATCCTGTGAAGCATCTCGTTCTTTATGTGTGATGTATCACTGCTGTATTGGAAAGTAAACAAAATCACTTCTGTTGCAGCTTTCAAAACAAATTTGTCCTGGAGAAAACTGCCTTCATGTTTGTGTAGTTAGGAAACTAAGGCAGAATATATTCAAGATACAGACAAAAAAAATCGCTGTTTTGTGATTGCTAACAAAAATGAGTTTTCAAAGGATACTTTAATATCTGTCATATCAGATGCTTTCCACATCTTTATTTAAGATGCTGTTCTTAATCTGTTTTCATTGAAAAAACAGAATATATTTGAATGCAGGCGGTAATTATTCCTTCCAGATATTAATATAAAATCGTCCATCAAGAATGCTTTCTCTTTCAGTCCTTGTTATATGTTTACTTCTCAGAATTTTGTCTTAACTTCAACAGTTTAAAATCAGATTCTGTTGTGAAGTTACAGATAGAAAATCTAGCATTTTTATGTGAAGGCCTAAGGTGGATATAAACATGAAGGAATCACTTTTATTCACAATCATTTCAACTTTCGTAATAATTAGTTATACAAAGCATACTGAAAGAGTAGTGTTAGTATCTAATTTGATGTTGAATTTTGATATTTTTAATAATTTGCAGTTGGAATTCTGACTAGCTCTTTTTTTCCCAGAAAATACTTAGCATTTTTTAGGCCATGTACTGCAAGTCTTGTGGAGTGTGGCTGCTGCTTGTGTTT